AGTGTTATATTATTAAACCAAAAATAAATTTTTTAATTATTAAACTTAAATTAAATTATTTAAAAAAATATATACTATATTATAAAGCATTTGACAAAAACTCTTAAAAACTATTTTTTATGCATAAAGTACTGTTTATTAATGCATATTACTTAAAACTCAAGATTACAAGTAGATTGTGCGTAAGTACAACTTATCAAAGCTCGATTTTTGAATTCGTATAACTAATTGCGGATAAATATAATCAAATAGAGGATAAATATCTTATTTTAAAATATAAAAAATCTAAAATATAATTAGGATAATCATCGAGTTCTAACGAAATAATTAATTATTATCTTTATAAGAAAATTATATTATTAAACCAAAAAAATTTACTTCGCTATTGTACCTAAATTAAATTATAATAAAAAATTGAATTAAAAAATTACACAAAAAATGATGAATTTTAAATAGTTAATTTGATACGAATATCGATATATTTTTGTTATGCATAAAGTACTGTATATTGATGCATATTACTTAAAATTCAWGATTACAAGTAATTATGCATAATTACAACTTATTAAAGCTCGATGTTTGAATTCGTATAAATAACTGCGGATAAACACAATCAAATAGAGGATGAACATATCATTTTAAAAATATAAAAAATATAAAATATAATTAGAATAGTTATCGAGTTCCAACAAAATATATAATTATTATCTTTATAAAAAAATTATATTATTAAACCAAAATAAATTACTTCGTTATTGTACATAAATTAAATTATAAAAAAGTTGAATTAAAAAATTACACAAAAAAATGAGGAATTTCAAATAATTAATTTGATACTAATATCGATATATTTTTGTCAAAATTTTATGATATTTTCAAACATATATTTTATTCAAAAATAAAAACATCATCGCTTTCTCAAAATCATATAAAGTCATATTATAACATTGACTGGGATAAAAAATAAAATGAAATATTAAAATCACGATGTATTTCGCTATATTGTGCGAGTACGCTTCTAATATTATTTTAAGATAATAATATATTTAGTGATATAATTTAGAAACACATAAAATCATTAAAATTGAATTTTAATTATTAAAAACTATTTATTTTTGCTTTTATATTTTCAATATTTTAAAGAGAAATGCTCTTTGATGGCTTATTTATCACATTTTATATATTTTCATGACCTCTCTTATGATATCCTTATACATTTTATTTAATTCATTTCGATTTTTTTTTTACTATTTTGAGTAAATTAAATAAACACAATAAACAATTATATTTTATATTTTATATTTACAAACTATCTTAAAATTCAAATAAATTTATTAAAGTTGTGAAAAAATTCAACATGAATAAAATAATGTTTTTTGTTTGGCATCTTTTCCTTAAATATTAATTCATCATAATTGTGATAAATTTGTAGTTAATAAGACCCCTTTTAATTTATATTTATTACAAAATATTTGATAGATAATCTATATCTATACTATATTATAAAGCATTTGATAAAAACTTTTAAAAACTATTTTTTATGTATGAAGTACTGTACATTGATGCATATTACTTAAAATTTCAGATTACAAGTAAATTATGCACAGGTATAACTTATTAAAGCTCTATATTTGAATTTGTGTAACTAATTGCGGATAAACATAATCAAATAGAGGATAAACATCTCATTTTAAAATATAAAAAATAAAAACTATAATTAGAATAATTATCGAGTTCAAACAAAATAATTAATTATTATATTTATAAAATAATTATATTATTAAACCAAATATAAATTACTTCGTTATTGAACCTAAATTAAATATATACTATATTATAAATCATTTGACAAAAACTCTTAAAAACTACTTTTTTATGTGTAAGGTACTGTTTATTAATGCATATTACTTAAAACTCAAAATTGCAAGTAAATTGTGCGTAAGTATAATTTATTAAAGCTCCATATCTGAATTTCTGTAAGTAACTGCAGATAAACATAATCAAATACAAGATAAACATCTCATTGTAAATATAAAAAATCTAAAATATAATTAGGATAATCATTGAGTTATAACATAATATTTAATTATTATATTTATAAAATGTTATATTATTAAACCAAAAATAAATTATTTCGTTATTAAACTTAAAATAAATCATAATAAAAAGGATAAATTAAATAAATTACATAAAAATGTGAACTTTTAAATAATTGATTTGATATAACATTGATAAATATTTTTTTCTTTCAAATTTTTATAATATCTTCAAATTTATATTTTATTTAAAAATAAAATCATTATTGTTTTCTTAAAAACACAAAAAATCGTATTATAACATCGACAAGGACAAATAATAAAATATAACATTAAAATCGAGATGTGTCTCGCTACATTGCGCGAGTACTCTTCTAGTTATAATAAAAAGATTGAATTACAAATTACACAAAAAATAAGAAATTTTAAATAGTTAATTTGATACTAATATCGATATATTTCTGTCAAATTTTTATGATATCTTCAAATTTATATTTTATTACAAATAAAAACATCATCGTTTTTTTCAAAATCACATAAGATCATATTATAACATCGACTKAGATAAAAAATAAAATGAAATATTAAAATCAAAATGTATCTCGCTACATTGCGCGAGTATCCTTTTAGTTGTATTATAAATCATTTGGTTCATTCTCTTTAAAAAACGACTTATCATGCATAAGGTACAATTAATTTGTGCAAATTAATTAAAATTAAAAAATATTAGTTAATTATGTGTGCATACATGATTTTAAAGCATGTCACTCCCATTGAAATCTTTACTCACCCCTACAATCTCTATAATCCAACTAACGTCCATACAATATCTCTTTTTCAAATAGTAGATAGTTATTGTTGATTGCATGTATAATGAGATGTCTTGACTTTGTATTTCGTATAATCACCGTCAACTTCCCTTCCCCAAAGTTCGGTTGCTTCTCTTTCAAGGTAAGCTTCAACCTTATGGGTTTCAACCATTGATTTTGATTGATTTATGGTCTGTATCGATTTTTGCTTCTTTGTTTTTGACTCATTATGTATCGATTCTTTATGGTTTATTTGTCTGGTTCTTTGTCGGTTTAGGTTTACTTTCTCAGAGTTCGATTGCTTCTCTTTCAAGGTAAGCTTCAACCATATGAGTGACTGTATTGATTGACCACTGCTTCTGATTACTTGATTGATTTATGATTTGCACCGATTTAAACTCTAACATCAAGCACCTTAATTCAAAACCTAGGTTTATCCAGGAATTTGTTCATTCAGTCGTGATATTTTTGTTACGATCAGTTTGCATTATAGGATGATATTTTAGTACAATCAATTATCTTGATGAAGTTAATTAACGACATAACATGATGAAGGTTGCAATCGTCATCCACAGATTGAGAGTTAGGAACTTGAGGAACATGTAGAAATATTTCAAGCCTTGAAAGACACTTAAAATGTCTGTGCGAATAAGCCAATTTATCCATTAAGCCTCATTAAGTCTCAAGTAAACACACCATAAGGGTACACTGCAGAGATGTCAATGCAAATGTCAGTGCTTTTCTATGATCAATAGTTAAGAGAATCATTAAATTCTTATCCTTCCATTATTATCTCAATTTCGATTTTTGTTGCATATTAAATCGAGATATATTTTCGCTACATTGTGCGGGTACCCTTATAATAAATAATAAAGCTATTTGTTGAAATTCAAAACAAAAATATTATAATTTGGAAAAATTAGTTAAAATAGTCATTTTTACCAATTGCTTTCACCTTTAATTAGTCACTTCTTTACAAGATTTATCAAAATAGCCTTAGATCCACAATTTTAAGGGTCTCTTTAGCTGATGCTGATGAATGAGAATGAAAATGAAAATGAATTTTTCTTTTCCCCCAGTTTATCCATGAATAAATTTTTGGACTTCTGAAGGAATGAACTCATTATATTATAGAAAATCAAATAGTGTCTTTTATTTTTATTCTCATTAATTACTGCTTAATATATCTAATCAAACACCCATTAGGTAAAAAAATTGCGGAACTGAGTGAAAAATGTAATTTTTTTACGAACAGAGGTAGAAATTATAATTTTTTTTTATCTTCTAATTGGGTCCACAATTACGAACGTGAATTTTACATAACTATGGCTATCTTGATAAACTCTGAGAGAAAATAGCTATAACGTAAAATAAATCTTATATTTAAATAAATTTTCATATAATTTGACACATAATAAGTACAATGTTTTATCCCGAGTGGGTTGATGCCACTGGCGCATCCGATATCCAACAAGCAATTCTCCATCCATTACAAATTCACAACATAAATGCAATGTTTATTTAGTTATCGTTTGTTTTTTTAAAAGATGTTGAAGTTTGATTTTACTTTTGATTTATAAGAGGTTGTGCTGAATTCTGAAATCATGATCAAAATAAAAGCAGAATAACATGCTTCAATTAATACGATATATATATATACAAGGGTTCAAACGAGAAGACTTTCATTTTACGAGAACGCGGGAACACCATTTTACTATAAACAATCACATGTGATATTATTATTTCATCATATGTGATACTAAATCAGAGACACAATCAACTTTTGACGCGATCTTGGTTGTGGGTCAAGTCGTCTTTACACCACTAAGCCCCATCACATGTGATAAGAATATTTTTGATGTGATACTATAATACATCAAGACCATCACATGTGATGCTAAATCATAGACGCAGACGACCTTTGACGAGGCCTAAGTCGCAGAACACGGCGTGCGCACACCACCAGGTTCCCTCACGTGTATTATCATATGTGATAAGGGTGTTCTCGGATTATCGTAAAATATAAATGTTCTCGTTTGAACCTCCATCTATATGTATGATGTTTCAAATGCAACCATCACATTGTACAACAATATAACCCAATTAATTAAGATATTTATAAAAATGATATGAATTAATTTAATACTATTTCACCCTCTTCAAGAAAATGGGTAAACATTGTTAAAAGCCACGTGGAAGAAGAGATTGAGATTGAGATTGCAAAACCATCAACGACCACAACTTGTGGCTATCAAAGGATGAACCTATTTCACTCTCTCCATCTTTGATCTCACTTTTCTCTCTCTTTCTGCAACCTTCACAATAATGGCGACTTCCTTCAATCTTCCAACTCTTCAAGGCCATCGTCTTCTTCACAAATCTCACTTTCTTGGTCACACCCAATTCACCAATCTCAATCTTAATCACAAATCATCATCTTCTTTCCCAACATCCAAGCATCAAATCATAAACCCATCTGCAAAATTCAATCTTTTCGAAATCTTGGGAGGCAGAGGTCTCTGTAATGGAGAAGAAGGCCTTCAACAGGAACTCAAAAAACCACCACCAGAAAGATCACCACCACCCACCTCCACCACCGCCGGGGAAGAAAACCCACCATCACCTCTAGAAAATGTACCTGAAAATGCATTCGAGAAGGAGTTATTAGGACTAACCGGTGGATTCCCAGGTGGTGAGAAGGGTCTCAAAGACTTCATCGAGAAAAACCCACCTCCTAAAAAACCACCACCACCACCACCGTCAACCACCGCAGCTGGATTCGATCAGAGCTTGGTCAGCCGGAAAGCGAAAGCCCCAGAATTGCCGCTGCTGATGCCGGGAATGATTGCGATTGTGAAGAATCCAAACAGTCCTTATCATATGTATTGTGGGATTGTGCAACGGATTACTGATGGAAAAGCTGGAGTGCTGTTTGAAGGTGGGAATTGGGATCGATTGATTACTTTCCGACTGAATGAGCTTAAACGCCGGGAGAAGGGACCTCCGATGGTCAGCCCACGATCAGTGGTGCTTGAAGAACTGATAGAAAAGAGTAGCTCTTGATGGTCGATTGTATTTATGTTTTGAATTTATGAAGGATTAATGGAACTTTGTATGTACAAATAATCATGTTTGGATTCATATCATGTGTATATAGAGTTCTTTTCTTCTATATAAATCACGTTTCTGATAAATAAATAAATAAGGGGTTGTTTGTTTATCTCTTAATAGTTTCATTAAAAGGCAATATCTGAATCGTTAAGAGGCAAATTTTGCTTGGCAAAAAAAAAAAACCCTCCTAATGGTTCTAAAAATTCTCTGAATGGTTTTATATCATGGGTATCCCTTAACTATTCAGCGTCCTAATTTCATTATAAGCAATTATCAAACAATTATAATTCATTTTTCACTATATCATGAGAGTCTCTTAATCATTTTGATCATTTAATTATTCTGTAACAAATCATTTAACAACTGTCAAACAACCCCTAAGATGATGAAAGTCGACTTAAAATATGTTTATGAAAAAATAATGGGTTAAAATATCCAAAATCTAAATCAGAGTTATTTATCAAACACTTATGTAATAAGCGTTTACTGATACGAGTCATCATTCTCACTTACCTTACAAGTAACATTTTTCTTATCATCAAATTTGGATTGTTGGTGTGTGTCTTTTACTCGGTAGATACTAAGATAAGAGCCTTCACCCACATTATTAGGTAAACCTTTTTCTAGTAAGCATTGGTAAATGACCTTTTACACGAGAGCATAAACCATCAGGCTTCCAATGATGTTGGAAAAACTTGATTGGATCAGTTGATTCTTGCGTAAATCCCAAAGTTAGGCACATACTTGGGCAATGGCATTATTAGCATGACCCAAAAAAAGGCCTAGGGTTCAGTCCGAACAAGTTCAAGTCTGGCAAATTAAAGACCGAAATTAAACTGATGGTTTGGCCTAGTTCAATGTCGGCTCAATCTTTATCTTGTTTGGTCTTGGTTTGTGAAAAAAAAAACTCTTCGTCTCTCCAATTTCAAAATTACAATATGACCATCATAGTTTGTAAAAAATATAGATTTGGTTCTTTCTTTCCTATAACGAGTTGTTAAAAAATTCCATTAAATAAGAGACATTTTTGCTCCTTTTAACATTAAAATGATAAAATGCTTATCACTTAACAAAATAGTTGATAAGTTCTCCGAATAAAATGATGGATTTGAGTTTCATAAAATAGTTATGTTTCATTGATAAAATACTAAAAATTAATTAGTACGTATTTTAAATATTTAAGAATATGATTAAATAAAAAAATATTCAACAATAAATTTATTTTAAAGATATTGATGGAACGATTATAATAATACAATTTATAAAAAAATGCATATTTAAATGTATTTTAGTTAATATACGATTATATGTATTAGGATGATAAAAATGAGAAAATAAACAAGTAAATGAACGTTAATTAATAATTAATTATAAGAGTATTAAGTTGTAAATTTGTAATTTAAAAATGGGTTATTTATAAAAATAACCGGTTTACACAACCTTTTGCCACAAAATAACCACATTTGAGAGGTTTTTCCAAAATAACCACCCGGACACAATGGGGGAGATCCTGGGTAAAAAAAAAAATCCTCAAAAGTCGAGATTACTGTTCACCTTGTTGACCGTGTTTGACCTCGCCCCCGGGGCGATCCGTACTGTACGGGGGGTGATCCGTACTGTTCACCCGTGTTGTTTTTTTTTTTTTGTATTTTTTATAACATTGAAGTTGTATTTTTTAACTTTTTTAGAACCAAATTTCATGGGGAAAAGTTTAAAAATAAATCTTTATAATTATGGAGACGCAAAAATTATTTTTCTCTGTGTTTTTTAAACCAAATTTTAACTTTTTTGTGTTTTTTATTCCATTTATATCTTGGAATAAACCGCCACTTCGAAGATACACACAAACATTATCACTTTCACGTGATTTCATGTTTTATGATGGTTGATTGTGTTTAGTGGGTTAAAGGTTGTGATGGTTTATTGTGTTTAATGGTTAAGGGTTGTGAGAGTAAAATATATGATAAAAGAAATGGAAGGGAATGCGTGAAAATTATGAATTAGAAGGTTGGTATTTATAGTGAAATTGGTATTAGAAAAGAATCATAACTTTTTTTTTACCCGGATCGCCCCCGGTACAGTACGGATCGCCCCGGGGGGTAGGTCAAACACGGTCAACGAGGTGAACAGTAATCTCGACTTTTGAGTGATTTTTTTTTCTACCCGGGATCGCCCCCATTGTGTACGGGGGCGATCCGGGTGGTTATTTTGGCAAAACCTTTAAAATATGATTATTTTGTGACAAAAGGTTGTGTAAACCGGTTATTTTTATAAATAACCCTTTAAAAATTAAAAATATTTTAGGATTTAATATTTTTTTTCGTAAAAACCCTTTTTTTAATTAGAAAAAGGTAACCTATGCATTAAGTGATTGCATGAACCATATGTAGGGGCTGTTTACTAAATATTTATCCTGGTAAGTATTTACCAAGTTATATTATTTTATCGGATGAATATGACAAGAACCAAAAATCTTATCCGGTAAGAACGAAGGCAATGACCGAGAGTCTTACCCGGTAAGTGATGGTGACAGACTCTTACCACGGTTAGCGCTTACCGGGTAAATTGTTGTATATGATGCCGTGTTGGTGAACTAAAATCTTACCCGACAAGCATGTGATAATGTTGAATTTTACCGATAAGCACTTATCGGATAAGTGTTGGTAAACTTCCCCGTACTCTTACATAGGTCGATCCTTGGGAGTAGACTTTGAACGTTATCTTTGTTTTAATGATAACAGTTAAATACAAAATTGGTCTATCCGGATTACATAAATTAACGAGTAAAATCTTAGACAAAAGTTATTTAATTATACAAACTAATCAATTCTTACCAAAGAGTCTTTGGCCTAGCAGTATATGAGTCTTTGTCCTCATAAAAAGTCAAGAGTTCAAACTTCATCATAGTTGAGGAGGGTGCGTAAGCAGAGACAGACCTATAAATTATTTCAAGCGGTGACACCATTTGACCATAAAAAAAATATTGGGAAAATTTTCAAAAGGTGACACCGTTTGACTATAAGAAACAAATATATAGAATTTTATTTTCAAACGGTGACACTATTTGACTAAGAAAATGACACTACAAGATTCGAAATTGGGTGTGGGGTGGAATAAAAGCTCTGTAAACCAACTCTACCAAATAAAAATTGTTCTTATTGTAGCTTCAAAATACATACGGTGTCACACAACAAATTACTACGGTTGCACCGTTCACGAAACCTAATTTTTTTACCCTTCGGCGGAGAAATAATATGGTGGCACGTGCCACCTATACCACAAGTCTAGGTCCGTCTATATGTGTGAGTTTATTTGTTCTATTTGTTATATATAAATATTATATACTTCAAAAAAGAAATCAATTGCTATGTAATTTCATAAAACAATGGCCGGTGAAAACGAATGTTATGAGGATCTTATTCGACCAATAAAAACATATTTATCGCTAAAAATGAAATTTTATGCATATTAACAACCACTTATATGACTTAATTTGCATAATGAAGACATAAATGATGTCACTCATTTAATTAAAATAATTGCATAAATAAATATAATTATATTTTAATAGTTTATATAATAATATAAATATTTAACAAAAAAAAATGAATTTATATGCTCAAGTTCTACGAATGCAGAGAAGATATATATTTTCAGGGTAACATCACTAACACAATTATATTAATGGGCGGAACCCCATAGGGCCCCCCACCCCCCGCTTTTATACTTAAATACTATAACTAAGCTATTAAAAACATATACATTAAGTAGCTCAGTTGACAATGATGTACAACCTACATACTGGAGGTTGCTGTTTCAAATACCTTCCCAAGCAATTTTTTTGCACTTTATATAAGTTATTAATATTTAATTATATGTATTAGTTTTTATATAATACATTAATTATATGTAAATATAAGTTTTTAAAGTAAATTATACCGGTATTACTATTTCTCGGTTAATACTTTGAATGTTTAAGTTTTTAGAGTAAATAATATTAATATATTAATTATATGTAAATAATGTTTAAATTGGTATTACTATTTTCCTGTTAATATGTCTAAAATCTCCATTTTCTCAATTTTGAAAAATCTATTGAAGATGCTCTTATATTTCGGCCCCCTAGACTACAACGGTTGTGTTCCGCCCTTGAATGGTATCGAAGTTCATAACTATAAGAATGCTTAATTGGACTGTAGAAATGTTGACGACTGATTGATGAAGTTGGAATCCGAAAATCTAATAATGAAACCTGTTATAGAACAACTGAAAAGGAACAAAATAGAATAGAGAGAAGAAATATGTAATTCGCATTAATCATAAGCTCTTTTTATGGAGATGAGTTACAATTAGATAAGTACGAAATATTTCACTTCTAATCTAACTCTGATATATCTATCTTTATCCATTTTGTCATATCCTTTAGACGATGTCACCACTATGACAAAGAAATGAATTTTAAAGACCAAAGACAAAAATAGCTATAAGCAACAAACCACTATATCTAAAATCATAGTTTAATTAACAAACGTTGAATTGGTTTTATTAATGTCAGTATCAACAACCTTTATTCCGTTAATTCATTACAGACAAATAATTTAAATACATTTTTGTCTTGGGGTGTTCATCTGTTGAAATACCATATGTATTATAGCTCCTTAAGGGTTGTTTGAGTAGTTTTTCATTTACTTTTGTATAAATAAAATTGTTTGTATGGATTCATAGGCGTGTTCATCTGTTGAAATCCAATGGATTTAGGTGAATCCGATCTGATCCAATCATCAATTGGATATTGGATTTTTTCATCCGATCTAATTCGATTAACATTGGACATCCAATCATATCCAAATCCAATGGATGATGATTGGATCAGATCGATTTCATCAATTGAATGTTACAATTGGTTATCCATTGGATCGTATTTGATTCATCCAATCATTTGATCCAATACTCAACTAATTATTTGAATATTTATTAAGTTATTAAAAAAACAATATATATAAATATCAATTAAAAAACAAAATCGAAAAATAATAATTATTATATAAGTTATTAACCGGATGATTATTGGCCGGGGAATTGGATGGTCATTGTATTGGATCATTTCGGTTTTATTGGATGTTGGATTGTCATCCAAAAACCGACCGATCCAATTTGGATATTGAACATTTAGATACGATTCAATTCAATTACAATTGGATATTCGATGATGGTCGATCAATTTTAATTAAATCGTTCGATTCATATTGGATCAGATGCCTTTTTGAACACGACTCTAAATTAACATGTCTCTATAAATTAAGAAAGTTTTTTCTATCATAAACCCACCGTCGAACACTTGCATATAACTGGTTTCAAATTTGTACAGGCGATTTGATATTTCAAAATTCAATATATTCCACGTGACGTGGCCAGAAATACGTCGCATATTATGGTGCTTGATTCTTCAGCTCTCTCTCTCTCTCTCTCTCTCTCTCTCTCTCTCAATATGTATATGTATACATATAGATATAGATATAGATATACTACACATACATATAACTTCATTATAATTCTGTGACTTGGCGAGAAAGAGGATTTCAATGGCAGATTTCTGGGGAAAATGGGCAACAAAAACAGCCCAATATCTCATCTCTGCAACGAATCTCTCAGTTTTCTTATTTTTTGATCTTCTGGACTTCATAATGTGCATTTTCTTCAGATTTGTAGATCAAATTCTTGAGGGAAAACCAACCCCTTGTTACTGTCGAAGTCAAAATAGAACAAAAGACTGTGAAGACAGAAGAAACGCCAGGATTTCAGATACTCTATTTGGGAGGAAAAATGGTTTTAGGGAATTGGGGTTTCTTGGAATTACGTCTTGGAAAGTTGCTGACGATTCCAAGGAAATTGGAAGTGAGGATTCGAGGAAAACTAGGTGGTCTGATTGTGGTTGTGAATCCTGTGTTTCTTGGCTGAATAACGAGGGTGATCAAAAGCTTCATGTTGTTGTTCAGGAGCCATCATCAAAAGGTAAAAACAATCTGATTCATTTTAATCTGTTTGAATCATTATTTCACTTTTCAAGAAAGCTCCAGTTTGACTTATGGATGTCAAACCTTATCATGTTGCAATTTTTTATTGCTTTCAAAATTTTATATGGATTTTTTATCGCTTTCAAAATTTTGATTTTATAACAAGTACAACTTTTCACTTTTATGAAGTTCTTTTGATCCCAGATAAGAATTGGCAGGCCTTGCTGAATGCTGATCTTGTGTGGATCGGTCCGTTTGTTAGGAGCTTAATGAGTGACTTACAGCCTATTCCGTCGACTATATACGACTGTTTGGTAGTGAGTTTATGATATAGAAAGTGACTTATTTTGTAAGCTTCCATGGAAGATTTATGCATAAAGGAAAGTATTTTCCAAACTTGCCACTCCTAATTAAAAGAACAAGCTTCTTTCATTTATGAAAAAACTCTCCAAAACAAAAACCTTCTCAATCTTCACGAATAGATTGTCACATAGACAACTTTATCCATATATGACTTAATGAAAAACCAACCAAAAGCCTTCATATGGGTACGAAATGGGGCTATTTAGCTCAATGACCTTTTCCAGAAGTGAGTTTTGATTTGAAAACTCTTTTAAGGTCGTTCAACCAAAGGACCGGCGAGAAATGTTTTCTCATGATTCTAACAAATATAGAATCATGGATTATAGTGTTCTGAAAGGCCAATCGTTTAGGTTTGGGATATTTATGATCATAAACAGACTCTACTCAACTAAAGTTGCTTTCATGTTTCATTTACTAGATCTTGATCATTTTGGCAGGAAATCAAGATATCAGTACGACACCGACAGAAAATGTGATCTTTCTACACGGGTTTCTCTCGTCTTCTTTTCTTTGGACCGAAACAGTGTTTCCTCAATTGGCTGGTAGTAAATACAGACTTTTTGCCGTAGACTTGTTGGGATTCGGAAGTAGTCCAAAGCCAAGAGACTGTCTCTACACTATGAACGATCATTTGGAAATGGTCGAAACATCAGTCATCCGTGAATTCAACTTGACTTCGTTCCATTTGGTTGCACACTCCATGGGTTGCATGATTGCTCTGGCATTAGCAGCAAAACATCCCAACAATCTCAAATCCATCACTCTAACTGCACCAGTGAGTTCCTTCATACGTTCAAGTCCACTTTAGTACTTTTCAAATTCAAATTCGTATCGGTTTTGTAAGTTTTTTGAGCTCAAAAAGTTTTCCAACGTCACATTCCTTTAACAGATTAGCATAGTTATGAATTCATTGCCTGTGAACAAACATATCTTGTCGATTTTGAAGCTTAAAACCAATCCATTTGACTCTTAAAAGTCAAATGTGGACTTATAGCTGTTCATAACCTGCTCTAGGTACCATTCAGTTCTTGCTAAATAAGCTCGTTATATGTGTTCTTATTGAATCAGTTAACTTGCAGCCTTACTTTTTGTCGTCTGAAGAGGAGGATGCTGGTTCAATAGCATTGAAAAGACTCGCGTACAAGCGTTTATGGCCGCCATTATTGTTCGGTGCAGCCTTCATGACATGGTATGAGCATTTGGGTAGATGTGTATGCTTCTTTTTGTGCCGGAACCACAGGACATGGGAACGGATTCTGAAACTCGTTACTCGCAAAAGGTACACAAATTCAAGCTTCCTATTTCTTCCTTCTTCTGAATTGAACCAGACTAGACTCAGTGGCCCAAGCTCGTATAAACTCTGAGCATGAAAAGTTGAAATGAGAACCATAAATATTTTGAGAATTTAGGAATCAACTATGTCATGTATTATTCACGATGAATTACCCTGATAATCATGAATATCATGCATTTTCATCATGAATATTGCATTTTGATGATGAATATCATGTATATTCATTATGAATATCTACCATTACCAAGGTTCAAAATGGTGTGAGGCATGCGTGGTGGCAAGCTCAAGCCTTACACGCCACGGCGAAGATGAGGTGTTTTTCATGACTGTAAATTCTTATATCATATATATACATATATATATATATATATATGTGTGTGTGTGTGTGTATGTATACACATATCTTTTCCATTTTATTATTCAACGGTGGAGTGTCTTATGCCATGATGACATTTATCATGAATAAAGCATGAATAGTTGGTTCTCATGTTCTCAAAATATTTACGGTAACCTGCCTCACCTGTTTTTATCCCAAGAATACAAGTTGGCACTAAATAATTGATCATTCTTTGCAGGAAATTGCATTTCCTAGTGATCGACTTGACGAGGCACACTCATCATTCGGCTTGGCACACAATGCACAATGTGATATGCGGTGGAGCCAAGATGATGGACCCATGTCTCGAAATCTTGAGACGAGCTGGAGCACGAGTGATCGTGGTCCAGGGGTCTCGAGACCAAGTGGTGCCAGTCGAATGCAGCCATAACATTAAGGTTATGGTTCCTGATGCAGAGGTTAAGATCATAACAGGTGTAGATCATAGTACAGTGATAATAGGAAGAGAAAAAGAGTTTGCTACAGATTTACAACTTATATGGGCTTCTGTAACTAATGCAAAAGGGTAATAATATGTAAGCTTTAGGGGTCGTTTACTAATACACTTACTTGGTAAGTGTTTACCGGATAAATTTTCTTATCGAATGAACATGAGAAGGGCCAAGAATCTTACCGGGTAAGAGCAATGAAAATGATAGAGAGTCTTACTCAGTAAGTAAGGATCGCGACTCTTACCAGGTAAGCACTTACCCAAAAACTTGTTACATTCGATTTGTTTTGATGTACTAAAATCTTACGTATCAAAATAGATTATAATGTTGAATCCTATCAGCAAGCACTTACAGGGTAAACGTTTAGGTAAACGGCCCCTTATTCTCAATTTTGTAGCCATTGAACATGATTAAAATGAAAGCTAAGCAATTGATTGATTTTGCCTTAACATTAAGGACGTGTTTGGTTAGAGGTATTAAGAAGTAATTAATGGGATTGAAAATAAAATGAACTGCTTTGTTTTATACTAGAAAGGTACTCGCACAATACAGCGAGATACATATCGATCTTAATGTTTAGTTTATTCTTATCTCTATCAATGTCAGAATACGATTTTATATGGTTTTAAGAAAGCGATAATATTTTCATTTATAATAAAATATAAATTTGAAAATATCATAAAAATTTGAAAAAATAACATGATATAATTTTTGGTTTAATAATATAATTTTTTAAGTTTAATAGCGAAACAATTTATTTTTTTGGTAAAACGATATAATTTTTTTAAAAAGATAATAACTAAGTATTCTGTTAGAACTCGATAATTATCCTAATTATATTTTAGATTTTTTATAATTAAAATGAGATGTTTATCATGTATTTAATTATGTTTATTTACAGTTAATTACACGAATTCAAAGATAAAACTTTAATAAGTTGTAGTTACCCACAATCTACTTGTAATGTTGAATTTTAAGTAATATGCATCAATAAACAGTATTTTATGCATAAAAATGGTTTTTAAGAGTTTTTAGCAAATGTTTATAATATACTATAAATAATACAAGAGGTTCATCTCCCAGAAGTCCAAATTTTCGTTACCGGTTCAATTGGAGGGATTGAAAATTCATTCCTTATTATTTTCATTTTTATCCTCTGCCTGAACTAAGCAATCCTAAATTTGCAACATTGTACACTCTTGATACTTCTTTTAATTGTGAAATTATCATTTTCGGGACATTTTCAAGGTAAATTATGTTTGTTAGAATATGTGTAGTCGTTTTGATTCTTTTTCAAAAAGAGTCGTACGGAGAGAAAGAGATTCCAATATATATAGGCTAGATGGACCATGTCTAACTGATGTGGGACTTTAATACGTCCTCAAACGGAAGCTAGACACCCTCTTGAATGGAGGCTCGATCGAGTGTGTTGGGCCCCTAGATGTTTGATGTCCTGGGTCGTTCCGGTCCCAAATCGTTCTTTCAAAATCGGCTGGCAAAAAATCTTAGGATTGATCTTAGGCTTGGTCACTAATACCGGTCCCATTAAGCTGGTACAAATCTGTTTTTTTAATAAAAAAAAGTTGAAACATATTTACACAAAAATGTAATTGATGTTTTTTTTTTTGAAATTTAGCATTGAAATACACTTTAAATGATGCATTTTCTTGAAAAAAAATCTTTAAAAACTTAAACTTCTTTGAAAAAATCTTGAAAAAACTTGAATTTTTTTTGAAAAAATTGGAATTTTTTGAAAAAATCTTGAAAAAACTTGTATTATAATAAAACTCATTTTTTTTTTAAAAAAATCGATATTGAAATTCCGTAGGACTCCAACACGCCTCTTCAAATGGAGGCTCAATTGAGTGTATTGTGCCCTCAGAGATGCTAAATAGGTTAAATGGATTGAGTCTACTTGCCCCTCAAACGGAAGCTAGACACATCCTTCAGTAGAGGCTCGGTTGAGCGTGTTGGGCCCCTGAGACATATTTGATTCTCTATAAAAGAGCTCTGCAGAGAGGAAAAAGGTTCCAATATATATAGGTTAGATGGACCGTGTACAGACGATGTGGGACTCCAACAGTTCCCTCAAACATAGGCTAAACATACAACCTTGAGCAAAGGCTCGATTGAGTGCATCGGGTCCCTAGAGATGCTAGACACCGACTCTGATACACCAAGTTTGCATACATGAAACCAACCAAATAGAGGAAATGTTCAAATGCACATAGGTTAGCTGGATTATGTTGAGCTGAACTGGGACTTCAACAACCTGTTCGATTCGCTCTCTAATAGTGCCCGACTTCCCTCTTATATCCTTGCAAAGCTAACGAGTTTACGTGTATCGTAATTGTTAACACACACACTAATTGTTATCTAAACACTTCCATAATCACATAGTTAATAATAAAGAAAACTTGAGCCATAGCAAATGCAAAAGACATCAAACAAAGTGAAGTAAAAAGTTGCATAGAGAATCAACAAAAGCCCAGGAAAAAAAAACACAAAATTACAAATCTGGGCAAGACCAAAGGAAAGGCATGGAGAACAAAGTTGATGAAGGCTAAGGGTAAAATGGTAATTTCAACTCATGATGATCTATCCATGATTTGATGATGAACATCAGGGCTCTCCATGATGCTCTCTAAACAAGGCTTCCACTTTGCAACACTTTCACCTCTTAACCTACTCTTTTCAATCTCTCCCAAAACTTCTTCCAGTTTTCTCCCTTCATCCTTCTTCAACTGACCCAATAGCCATTGTAGCTCATCTTTTGTTAATACCAATTTTACCCTCATTCTGCTACTCTCTTTACTAAAACCATCACTTGATTCTTGTTTTTCTTGTTGCACCTGTTTCTGTTCTTCTTCTTGTTGCTGCTGATGCTGCTGTTGTTGTTGTTGTTGTGGGTATTCTTCTTTCCTTTGAATGCATGTTTCCATATAATTTCCCATTCTTGTGTGTTCTGTTGCCAAAGAAAACAAGGAAATGGAAAACAACTGAAACCCTTGTTGTATTCTGTTGTCAAAAAACAAGAAAATGGAAAACAACAGAAACCCTTCTTCTCTTTGGCTGTTTTTGTTTCCAGAAAAGTGTTTTTCTTGTTTTGAAAACACCCTGCTTGCTTTCAGTTTTTTTTTATGAGCAAAGAGATGTGGAGAAAAAAATTGGGGAGTTGTTAGAACCTTTCAACTAATGCATGTGAGGTGTGGGAACATATAAGTATTTATAAGTCATAATGGTTATTAATATATTAACAAATTCAATTATTTTGAGAAAAGGAAAAACCATTAAATATTTTTATTTTAAATTATTAAGTTTTTAAATTGTATTTTTAAATGAAAAATAATTAAATTTTTTTTGTTTTGAATGAAAAAAGCATTAAACTTTCTTATTTCGGATGATTAATACCCTAAAATTAATAAAAATTATAAAATAATCATTAAATTTTTGCTAGTTGGTTACATGTAACTTTTTTTATTAAAAAAGATACAGGTAACCAATTTTTAAAATAAGATGGTTTAATTATTAAAAAGTGTTCAAAACTTAATCATTCAAACTGAGATTCAGAAAAATAATTAAGAATTTAATCATTCAAAATGAGAAAGTTTAACGGTTTTTTTAAATTTAAAAAAAGTTAAAGACTAAACCACTCAAAACGAAAACGTTGGGTTGTTTTTGAAGTTTTTTCCTTTTAGGAACTGATAAACGATTTATTTTTGTTTTTTTTGCTGCTCCTGTTTCTGTTCTTCTGTTATGACGTTTATAATAAATATTTTATTACGTTATTCATGATAAATATTTATTCTAAAATATTTTACGTTACCAAATGAACGTATCTCTAAAACAATGTTATTTATAAATAATCCAAAATTTACCAAAAATCTAAAATTTACATCAATAATATTTTATAGTAGTTATTAATCAACAAGCATATAAATTAAAAAATTAAAATTAAAATCTTATTATAAGATGTTACATGTATTTTTAAAAAATCAAAAAGGAAATTATTACATTTTATTATTATTATATATATATATATATATATGTGTGTGTATATATATTATTGTAATTCTCCACATAGTGATTGACAACCGTCTTGTTTTATTTCCTACTTTTATTCGTGACGTGTTTTTATTTATATTATATTATAAAATATTTGATGGAAACTTTTAAAAATTATTTTTTATATATGAAGTACGGTTTATTAATATATATTATTTAAAATTCAAGATTATAAGTAATAATATATAAATATAATTTATTAAAACTCCATTTTTTGAATTTGTGTAACTAACTGTAGATAAAAACAATCAAATACAAGATAAACATCTCATTTTAAATATAAAAAATCTAAAATATAATTAATATAATTATTAAATTCTAACAGAATACTTAATTATTATCTTTGTAAATAATCATATTATTAAATCAAAAATAAATTACTTCATTATTAAATATAAATTAAATTTTGAAATTTTGAATTTAAAATTTTTTTACAAAAAGACAAGAATTTTTAAATAACTAATTTGATACTAATATTAATAAAAACCATATAAAACTATATTATATCGACATAGACAAATAATAAAACAAAATATTAAAATTGAAATGTATCTCGTTGCATTGTGCGAGTATCCTTCTAGTAATTTATAAAGGAAATTTAAAAAGAAAGTAAGGTTAAATATTTAAAATGTTTTCGTAAATGCAAAAAAAAAAAAGTAAAGAACCAAAATTGATAGTATTAAGGGTTAATTATTTACTTCTTAATGGTTCTATTAAGAGACAACATCTGAATCGATAAGAGGTGAATCTTGTTTAGCAAAAAAAAATATGTCTTCTAATGGTTCTAAAAACCTTCTAAATAATTTTGTATCATGGATCTTTCATAACCATTCAACGCTCTAATTTTATTATAAACAATTACCAAACAATTATATTTCATTATACACTATATCATGAAAGTTTCTTTTAATCATTTTGACCACTTAATTATTATACACTAAACCATTCAGTAACTATTAAAGAACCCCTTAAACGTCAACGATTAAGATGAAATAAATATACGATACGAAACAAAACAAAAATACATGATTTTGTCCATAAAAGATGATTGTGTTTCATTTCCTCCCAGCATGCCTTCACATAATTATAGACAAAAATCTGATTTTTCCTTTAATATTTTATCCTTAACATTATGCTTAAACATGACCAATTACGTCTTAAACACATATATTTTTCATTTAATTATTCTTTAAAATAAACTTTTCAAAAATTATATATCAATATATCATTAAAACCTTCTTTTATAAGTATTTTTATTAATCTGGATATCTAACCCGTTATGCAACCTGACTATCCAGGATGACCACCTGCTTCACAGGTAGTCCAGAATCACCAAATTTGAACCTGCGTGGCCATAAGAATATTTTTATTACTTCTTGTATTCGAACCCGAAAACCCTAGACATTTTTGATCTTTGGAGTCCAAGCTCGAACCAATCAGATATTACCTTTGTGGTTAATATAAGTATATTTTTTAAAATGACAATAGAAGAAAAGTGTCTTTTTTTGATAATCATGAGTTTTCGGACCAACTTATGCATACTGACTAATTCTTGGATGACCTCCGTGACTGCAAGAGCTTTGATAGCACTTGGATTCGAATCCGAGATAGATGAGATTTTCTACTACTTCCCTTAAAACTTAAACAATATGCGACATGTTCTTAAAAAAAGGCAAAATATATGTAAACTATGCATAATTACAAATAACAAAATTATTATTCATGATATTTTTAACGCAATATTTTTGTATATTTTAATATGCTTATAATTTTTTATTCATATTTTTATCAATTTTAACACCATAAAAATCATTTTTTTTAAAGAAAAAACTACAAAACTTTTTTAAATGATGATTAGGAACCTCCATAATGGAGTACCCATCAACTGTATTATCATTTAAATATTTGAAGGTAATTACAAGGCCTCTTTTTTGTCTCTCATTCCCCCCCCCCCCTTCTTTCTTTTTCTCTCTCTCTATATATATATTTATATATAAGTGGAGGATATATACATACATATATATATATATATATATATAAGTGGAGGTTCAAATAAGAACTCATGTGATTTACGAGAACACAAGAATAACTCAATAACCTCAAAAAAATTTAATTGATAAATTAACTTATATTAAATATAAATAAATTAATAAGGATAATAATGTAATTAAATAAAATTTATAATTTTTATTTTAATTAATTATAATTATTCTTTTTTTTCTTGTACGTTCGTTTCCACTCTCTTCTCTTCCCTTGTGATAATTGTGTGATTGTGTAACCATAATCTATCGAACCCATGATCAATCGAGTGTAATCATAACCTATCGAAACCATGAGTAATCGTTGTGATAAACGTATGATTGTCTAACCTTAACCGATCGAAACCATGATCAAATTGAGTACGCAAGTGATGTTATCATAGTGATATCACATGATTATCACACTCATATCGCACCAAATCGTTTAGTGGATTTCGTCCGTAATCGTTGTGATAAATGTATGATTGTCTAATCTTAATCTATCGAAACCATGAGTAATCGTTGTGATAAATGTGTGATTGTCTAACCGTAATCGATCGAAACCATGATCAAATAGAGTGCGCTGTTATGATAGTGATATCACGTGATTATCACACCAAATCGGTAGTCGATTTCCTAAGTTAACCCTAGTCGAGCGGGAATCCTTGTGATAATTGTGTAATAATCACATGACTATCAAATCACACCAAATCGTGTTGAAATAAACGATAACCATAATACCCCATTATGTTATCCAAATTATTGGGTTTAGTTTGATTATGTTTTTCAAATTTTATCACTTTGAATTCTAATATTACCCTTTTGCCTCTCAATTTTTTAATTGTTTCAATTTCATTTTTAATTTAAAAAATCTTTTTAATTTTTATTGTTATCACAATATGAGGTTAATAAGTTGTTCTCGTGTTTTCGCAAATCACAAGGGTTCTCGTTTGAACCATTTCCTATATATATATATATATATATATATATATATATATAACCAACCAGGTCCCACATCGATGATATTCAAAATCAAACCATTTTAAAATTTTAAATTACATTTTGTATTTTATAATTAGTTACTTAATTTATTTTATATTTCTTATTTTTTCATTTTTACCATATTAACTTAATAATTGTATATGAGCTAAAATACATTTAAAAAACGTTTTATTTTTTACAAATTATACAATTACAATCGTTTCATCAATACGTCCAAAATGAGCTTAATATTGAATATTTGTGTATCTAATCATACTATTAAATATCACAAATACATACGAATTAATTTGTCTTATATTCAAGTAAACTACGATTTTCGTCCCTGTTGTTTTGAAATTTTGTTTTTCATTTATTTGGTTTGTAATTTATTGTTGTTTTCATTTCTGAGACTAAAATCCATTAAAAATCTTTTATTTAAATCAGGGATATTTTAGTCTTTTGGTTTATTAAATATATAAAATATCGTTTTTGGTTGCTTTTTCGTTGATTTAAGGGGGTGTTTGGAGTTGCTTATTTGAAACGACTTATGCTTTTCTACAAAACATTTATCAACTTATTATAAGTCAGAAGAGTTTAACTTTTTCAAAAACTTCTTATTACCGGTTTGATACCGGTATAAGTTGTTTATCCAAACACTCAAAATTGCTTATTACTGATGTCACACCTAAATAAGTCGATAAGTTATTTTTATAAGCAATCCCAAACACCCCGTAAGTCTTTTTTATTTAATAAAATCATATACTTTTTGATGAATATTAAAGATATAATACTCTTTGGAGTAAGAGTCCTTATAAATAAAATAGGTAATAAAGATACTTTGACATCCACTACTACTAAATCACCCCCACTCTAAATTAAATTGGTACTTG